TTTTATTTGGTATGCATTTGTAGCAACAGCATGATAACATTTATTTGTTTTTATTTGCGTTTTATATTCATATTGATAATTCACGTTTTGTCTTGGATAATAAAGCACGGTTATGCATAATAAATTGTATGCATAATAAATATTCACTATCACTGTATGAGGTAAGAATCAACAGCTTTTTATCACATTTACACAACACTTTATGAATACAAGTCATGAACAAATCTTAAATATGGCAGGGGATGTGTTTACTTTTTTAGTTTTGATTTTGAGCAGCAAATTTGGAGTTACATATTGGTGCTCACCAGGAATGCATATGCAAAATTGCACAAATTTTCACTTGAAAGAATAGTGGCGATCTTGGGATTTTTTTCTGTTCAATTTTCAAACTGTGTAAATTTAATACACTTCATCTTCAGCATGTTTAGTGCCACTTTTGTAAGTAACCACGCCCCCGTCCAGGCCACGCCCATGTCCAGGCCACGCCCCTTCCGCTTTTTTCATCACTCGCCATTGCCATGTATGGACTTTAGACGAAAGCTGCGCCGTACCCTGATCTGGTTGCCAGTCAGTCGCAGGACACATAGAGACAAAGGCCCGTTCACACCCACACCTCCGCTGTCACTGGGTGGGAACCGATCGATCCCACGCTGCCCGCACACAAATCCGGCGAGTATGATACCATGACAGCAGCAGCGACCGAGAACTTTATCAAGAATTTAACGGTCAATATTTTCTCGTATAATAAATTGAAAAACCAACACATGAATGTGAAGTTCAATGTTACCGATGCCCCACCGGTCCAACCCATTCAAAAATGAACAAAAATGCACTTTTCATCCAAAAACAAAGTGCCATTCAGAGTGTTCAATGAAAAAAGTCCCATTCAACATGCAAATAAAAAAAGTATCTTCCCTCCCCAAAGGGCTTTTCATATTCGTCTGTACTTGAATGGAATCCGGTCGTTTGAGTCGGAGTTCTGCTCAAATAGATTTCTTCAACTCTAGTTTTACTGCAGTTCATTTGGAATGAAGACCCAACTTTTCATTTTGTTCCTTCCGAGTTGAATCCCATAAATTCCCGTTAGTTTCCAAATTTCACGGAATTTTGCCACCCTGAAGACAGTTCAGGAATAGAAAAGGTACCATTGTCACCATCCGTATTAATTAAATTACACCAAACATTTGTCGGGAAGCCATTGTGGTACTATACCTGACGACTTTGTATGTGAAAAGTTTGAGGTTGTTTTAAAAGATACATGCTTGTGTGGACATAGTATGACCAACGTAGCATATGAATCAAACAAAGCACTTTTCACCGTTTTAAGGAGACGTCATCTCAAACCTCCACGGTGGCACGCATCATTCTGGGGCCGTCCCCGGCCTGGCATCTCGAGCTGATCTCAGCCCGGGGCCGCCGCGCCGCCTTTACGGTGACATTATTGCCGCGGTGATTTAGGTGTGTGTCAGAGCCAGCAGGTGACCTCAGCTCTGTGGTAATGAGCGCACTAAAACACCAGAGTGCTGGCCACAGCCTGTCAATCACACTAAGAGTGGCGCTGCTGGCTAAAGGGGATTACATCAGCGGGTGAGATCATACTGCATCCACTCTCAGGCTCAAGTCAAGTCTCTCTCTCTCTCTCTCTCTCGCTCGCTCGCTCTCTGTGTTTTTCCATGCAGAACTTTTTTCCAGAGCAGATGGTGGCTTGGTGTCAGGAGTCTGATGGCACAATCCCTCAATCACAGCTCTTACAGGTAAAGGGGGGCGGGGGGGTGGGTGACTCAGTGCAGACATACACACAGTGCTGCACGTGCGAGTGACTGGTTATCTAACACCCGCTTTAATCGGAAAACCCAAATTGCTGTCCTTGAACGGAGTGAAACCGGGAAAAAAAAAACAAAAAACGTCTCCTCTCCTTCCTGAAGGCTGTGACAAGGACATCTGTTGTCTAAAAATATGCATGAAGATTCATGCGGAGTCATTGCAATCTGCTAATTGCATTTGCCCGCTGGTGCTAGAGTAAGGCGTTTAGGAATATAGGAAATGCCACCGTTCCTCCTCATTACTGTTCGGATGTTTTTTGTTTTGTATTTTGTTTGGTATCGCTGACGTTGCGCCCCCGTCCTCACTCGCGCTTCGTCTGCCTTTTGCTCACAGAACTTCCTGAACTCGAGCAGCTGTCCAGAGATTCAGGGCTATCTGTTTGTGAAGGAACCTGGACGCAAGTCTTGGAAGAAGCTCTACATGTTCCTGCGACGCTCCGGCCTCTACTTCTCCACTAAAGGAACATCCAAGGTAATTCATATCGCACAACGGAGGCACTTGTGAATAACCGAATGGGACCCTTTGCGAGAGCTCTCTGCCAGTGCTCAGTTTTGATTGAGACTATAATCGAGGATAATTGTATCCCATCGGAATGCATCGTCTCTTCCACCACTCCCAGGTTTAATTTGAAACATGATTCACATTTACTGGCATGGTGAAAGAGCGGTTAGCACGGCTGGCTCACAGCAGGAAGATCCCTGGTTAGAAAGGTCACTTTCCAGAAAGTTTTCCCTTGACCGGGGGTGCTGACACAGAATCTGGATTCCATCCCCAGGCGTGACACGTTGGCTGCCCGTTGCGCCTCGAGGGAAGGGTTAAATGCAGAGAACGCATTTTGCTGTAGTTTGTAAATGTTACAAAGCAACATGGTTTTTTTTTTGTGTTTTTTGTGTGTTTGCAAAGTTATTATCAGTATTAGCAAAAAATACAAAAATAGCGACTTCCCCACAAGGTAGACAACCGGAATGAGACAACGTCCAGTGGAAGACCATGCGACTTCTCCCGGTCGTGATGGTCTCGAACTGAGATGTGTACTTTGGACATGACGAATAAAGATGATTCCTCTGGTTCTCGATGCAATGTTTTGGATGCATTTTAATTGACATCATGAGATGACTAAATTAAAAAAAAATGTTTTAAACTTTTTTTGGATCATTTCACTGACCCTGAGGCCGACAGGAAGTTCCTCAATCTGAAAAGATTTTTCAGATGGCAAAATGCTCATCTTGTGATGCGGTTGATGCCCCCCCTCCTTTTTTTTTTCAATTGCAGTTTGTGTTTGCATGTGCTATATCGGTCATTCACAACTTGGAAGGCAATTGAGAATAATTACGCGACATTGTAACAACTCGTCATTATTCCTTGACTGAACAGGAGCCCCGGCACCTGCAGCTGTTGTCTGATCTGGACGACAGCAACATATTCACCACGATCACCGGCAGAAAACTACACAATGCGCCGACAGACTACCAGTTCTCCATCAAGGTAACACGGACGACAGAAAACATCGCAGCGTCTTTCAATCTGCCGCCAAAAACGCTTAGCAATTCGCCGGTGGACGTGGTGCTGCAAGAGTGACGAAATTTGATCACAACCCTTTACTTACATGAGTGACTGGCACTTATGCAATGTAGAAAAGCCCCTTTGGAACAGATGTACCTCCTTTGCCTTTGCAAGTGTTTTGCGCGTGCACGCGTGTGTGGGAGTGTGTGTGCGTGCGCGCGTGTGGGTCAGAGGACACAAGGGTTAAAACCACCCAGCGGGGGTTCAAACACACACTCAGCACTGTGCGTCCCACTCCAGGCGTTATCTGTGGTGGGTCACCTGCTGATCTGGGATAAGCCCAATGGGATAAGCCAGGATGGTCCAGAGAATCTTTCCAAGCAACCCCCCTCTGCACCCCCTCAGCTCGCTTACACACACACACGCACACACACATAAGCATGCATGCTAAGCGACCGTCATGTCAAATGCTGTCAGCGGGGGTGACAGTGCAGAATTGGGTTAGGGATTTTACTTGACGGGTGGTGGCTGTATCATCGCTATGGTTACATGAATTAATTCATCGTGAGCGGCTGGCCGGTCCCCATCGCTGCTGGGGTTGGAGAAAAAAAGGACAAAAGCCTGGACGGCGATGCTCGTCTGCTCTAAGAGTGCGACGCCGCATTGTGCGTGCGCAATCAATGCTCGCGGCTGAAACCAAATCTCCTTCGCTCCCCCTGTGAACTCTCTGAGGTGACAACTGCCGCCTGAGAAAGTTTGCAGGCTTCTTCTTGCCGTCAGCCTTTAAGAGAATGCAAAGCTGAGGCTGTTGCGTGGAATGCTGAACATGCAAAAAACACATTTTATGGCAACTGAATAAAGAATGACAGACAACACCACAGATGGTTCTGCTAAATTTGGAATTTTAAGAGCAATAGTAAAAAGTAAAGCTGAGGTTGGTGGGAGAGATGTAATGTAATCTAGATGCTCGAGCAACAAAGCTGCAGAAAACCACGTATGCAATCACGTACAACACGAGGTGTGATTCTTGGGTTCCTTTTTAACGGAGCAATACTACAAATAGCTTTTGCCAGTCTATGGAAATGACCGTTGAATGTCGCGGGCCGAGTCATTCAGTCCGATGTTGAAAAAGCTTTGTGGGGCAGAGCTGCAGCTCACCGGTAGTTATTTATGATCCGTATGTTCCCCAAAAAGATGCCGAAAGCTAGTATGCTGCTCCTCGTGCCGTGTGTTCTCATTGTTTTGTTTTCAATATGTTGATCTTTTGTGAATTAGCAGCGTTGTGCAAAGAGGATTCTAAATGCTAACTTCTTTTTTTTTTTTTTGTCAGCAAGTTTTTGCATTTTTCTTCCATCTGAGTCAATAATACATGAATCTTAATGCCATAATTAATACATGAGTGGGCGGCGGGTATCTCGCCGTCCCAAATTAGGCTCACAGCACAGCACCGCACCGCATTGCACTGCTGTGGTCAAGTCACGTGTTGCTGCTGTTCTTCACTTGCAGCCCAGTAAAGCGAGAGGGGACTGTAAGGAGCTGAAGATGTTGTGCGCTGAAGACGAGCAGAGCCGGACGTGCTGGATGACTGCCTTCAGACTTCTAAAGGTACCCGATTGACTGTTGTCAGGCTGCACCAAACCAATGTAGGATTTTTGTCACTTCATCAACTTGCACACAAAACTGTTTCTCCCTCTTGTCTTCATAGTATGGCCTTGTCCTATATAAGAGCTACAGCGTCCCCCAGCAGAGGAAGACCAACCTCTCGCAATTCTCCACGCCTGTGGTGAGGATCTGCTCCGTGACATCATCCCCTCGCCGGCATGCTAATGCTAGTGCTGATTCTCCACTCAGCCGGCACGCGTCCACACTGAGCCATTAATTGGCTGATGAATTGCAGAGCCGTTCACTTGGCTTCGCACGCCTCGCTCGAGCTGGAGAGAAAACAAAGCAAGGGCCGGAATAGAGGGTGTGCCGCACTTCTTTGGTTCAGGGTTCGAATCTCGACTCTGGGTTTCCTGCCTGTATTTAGAACATTGTCCCCTTGCTTTGGTCCAGCCGCCTCCTCTCGCTTTCCAAAAACGTATTCAGTTCATTTAAGGCTCTAAATCGCCTTTCGGCGTGAATGTGAGCGTGACAGGTTAACATGAGTCCTCTGATGGACCGTTGACCAGTCCAGGGTGTGCAACGCCTCTCATCCAAAGTCTCTTGGGATAGCCCTCCGCTCACCTGCGAATTCGAATGAGGAGGGGCTGTCTAAAATGGTGGGATGGAAGTTTATGCGTGTTGTGACAATGTCCACCGGAAAAAAAGGCACATTTTGACTCAGAAGCTGCAATCAGGCAGAAGCTGGAATCATGCACAAAACATCAAGATGATCACGATTTGGGTGAAGAAGTAGTCTGCAAAGTGCTACCATATTTTCTGAGTGAAAATCCGAATTAGGTAAAAACATTTTTTTTTGACTGGCACACAGAGTTCACAGACCCCCCCCCCCCCCCCCCCCGCAAACTTTTGTGCGTGACAGGAAGTTTGTGTCTTTTCCAATTGAAAGTAGTTGTGGTTGATTAAAATGATTCCGGCAGCCAAGCCAGTAAGCCAAGGGGGACGTTTGTGATGTCGGAGTGGACTGAAGTGGGTCTCTGTGCAGACAGGATTTGTCATGCCCCAGTGAGTGTGTCTGGCTTGTTAGACCTCTGACCTTTGTTCCCCCCCCTCCCTTCATACCCCCCACACTCCATCACCCTCCGCCAACCCTTACCACCACTCCCACCCCACCCTTTCCTCAACCCTGCTGCCCCCCCCCTAACAGCGAAGTGTGTCAGAGAACTCCCTGGTGGCGATGGACTTCTCGGGACGGACTGGCCGTGTCATCGACAACCCCGTGGAGGCCCAGAGCGCTGCCGTGGAGGAGGGACAGACATGGAGGGTAAAAAGCAAAAGAGGGGGGAATGAAACAAGCCCCCGGTTTGCCGTGTTGGATGGCAGTTAGTTCTCATTCTCTTCATGTCACGTAGAAACGGAGTCAGCGTATGAATGTCCTGGGCAGCCCGTCGCCCCTGCACCCGTCCTCTCTGAGCACAGGTACTCGCCAAGGCCACAACTGTACGAGCGTGAGGTCGAGCTTCGTTACGGCGGGCTAACGCGTGTGCCTCTGTTGACCAGTCATCCACAGGACGCAGGTTTGGTTTCACGGTCGCATCATGAGAGAAGAAGCCCACAAAATGATCATACAACAAGGCCAAGTAGATGGGTAAGATTTTGCGTACTTGGGGAAATTTGTACTTGGGAAGAGTTGGGAAGACTTCACCGTTCCCTTGCCGCAAAAAAAAAACAAAAAAAAAACAAGCAAGCGTAGACAGCTTTGTGGCTCTCATGTTGGTTACACCTGTAATTGTAAAAGACAAACCTCAGTGTATTTATTGTTCGAATAATCAGCGTGATAGTAATAGGATTGAAACCAAACCAAAAACCTGTCAGTCGCCTTTTCCAATACGCTCGCTCACATTTAAAAAAAAAAAAGACAAAATGCGTGGGCTCCATCCAGCCAAAGGCGCGACCATCTCAGTTCTGTATCGGATCCAGATGTAAGCACCCCAAAAGGAAAAGTCAAAAGAAAGGAATTATCTGCACTTTTTCAAAAGCATTTGGAGGGAAGCGTATGCTTTATTCCATGTCGATTTTTACGTGTCAAGAATGCTTCAGGGCTAATCATCCACAGATAATTTGTTCACATCGTCGTTGGCAACACGTGGCTGCCTGTATTTATCCTCCCATCACTTTTCCACTTCTCTCTTGTGTTTTCTTAGGTTATTCCTCTTGCGGGACAGTCAAAGTAACCCCAAGGCCTTCGTGCTCACTTTGTGCCATCACCAGAAGATCAAGCACTTCCAAATTTTACCGGTCAGTGAAATAAGAGCGATTGTTATATGCTGGAAGAAAGTGGCAATTGTACATACATTTGAAGTGCAGAGGGGGGGACTATTATGTTCACAAGTAAAACCAGTTATGGCCGGTGGCTATTGTCAGTTGAAGAAAAAAGCTTTTTTAAAAACTTAACTTGTGTTTTAACTGGCAAGCGGGTTTGATTTTTTTTTTTTTGTAAACGCTCCTAAATGGACATAGTAGTGTTGCGTAATGTGGAAAAAGCAGAAGCCAGCCAAAAAGCCAGCCAATGGACCGCCTTTGGCTTTGATTACAGAAAGCATTTCCTTTTGGCATCATCTGGCTAATCTTATGCAATCACACAACATTCATTTCCATCCAGAGCCGCATTCATTTTTGTATGAAAGATAAGCGAGTTGGAGCCCTGTGTACAAATCTTCTCTGACATATCCCAAAGATTCTTAGGGGATTAAGGTCTGGACTGGACTCTTCTTATACCCTGCCCGTTTACTTTGGAACATGGTCCATCTGGACTCATGAGATCACATGATCTTTTTTTCCATTGCTCCAGAGCACAATGTTATGCGCCCAAGAAAATTGAAGCCTTATTTTGCACCCACTTGAAGTGGTTTTCTGGAGGCTATGCAGCGATTTGGAACATGATTGTAGTGCTTTTGTAACTTTTTTTCCAAAATTTAGCACTACATCGACAAAAATAAATCAATAAATCAATAAATACGAAAAATAACAATCATCCTAATAAATGACCGGCATCGTCTATTGGCTCCCGAAAACGTTTTCATGATTATCACTACCTTGGATGACTTGCGTGGTTCTCTTGCTTCGCACTCCAAATAAAGAGGCAGAGGGTGACGCTGACACACATATTTTTCTACGGTTTGATCGTTATTTAAGATGGAGCGTTATGATGTTCGGAGGCACAACGCTTCATTCTCTTTGACAAATTGCCATCAATGTTCCAGTCAATCTAAAACCTTCATCTGACGGCACAGCAACAGATAGCGACAGAGCATACGGCACGACTCGTGGGCACGCGTTTCTCTCTACTATTACTGTACGACTATTACTGGAGGCGCCTCTGGCCTCTTCCTGCTCTTAATTGCCGAGCGACACCTGTGATGTGATTGTCACGTGTTGCGTGTGTGTCAAGTGTGAAGAGGACGGTCAAGTGTTCTTCAGCCTGGACGACGGCGCCACCAAGTTCACCGACCTGATCCACCTGGTGGAGTTCTACCAGCTCAACAGAGGAGTGCTGCCCTGCAAGCTCAAACACCCGTGCACCGCCGTGGCCTTGTGACACTCCTTCTCCTCACCCCTTTCAGTTTTTTGGTTTGCACACCTCACAGATGCCCCCACACCCCGCACCCCACCACCACCCAAGACCCTACCTTTCTGCCCCCACGCCCCCGGTGAGTCAAGTCTGGGTGAAGAAGTGAAGCGAGCTTTTGGCTGCCTTATTTCTTTTTGGAGGTTTGAAAAGGGCGCAGAACGTTGTGGATTGTGGACTCCTGCGTCGCTGCCACGGAGACCAGAACGTTTGTGATGGTGCACAGAAGCTCGTGAATGATGGCTCTCCTTCCATTGAACCCCCCCGCCCCCCGTGCCCCCTTCCGATCCCACTCTATTTCCCCCCCAGGCCTGATAAGCTGTGGTGCAGGAAGCGCCACCCTTCTTCTTCTTCTTCTTCTTCTTCATTGATCATCAGGGATGGAGGGGAATCCCTCCGGGTCTCGAGCAAACTTTGGATCCAGGAGGTTTTCTCAACCTGTGCAGTCCAGTCTGGATAAGCTGACACCATGACACCGCCCACTCCACCAAACCACACCCACAGCCCCACCCAAACCCACCCTATGCGTGTGGCTCTACTGCTGTGTCCGGGATCAAGTCAAGCGCGAGGAGAAGGATCTAAACGAGCAGAGGCTTATCAGAAAGGACAAAGGAATGTTTATCAGGAAGGCCGAGACGAGCCTCTCTTTTAGACTTGATTACTTGATGTCATTTTAATGCTGTTTTTATGACTGTTGATTAAATGCAGAACTAGTTTGCACTCGTGTGCGGGGAGAGGGGGCGGGGTGGCACCGGTCAATCATCATCATCATCATCCTCCTCCTCCTCCTCCTCCTCCTCCTCTTCCAAGTGGGAGAAACATGCATGTCGATCTCCATCCACGCTGATGGGATTTAAAACAAGAGGAGGCAAAGAGAGTCACGGCTGACGATGCAGGTTTGGCAACATCCCGGAGATGTATGTAGCTCACGGCGCCGTGGCCAAACTACTGTTGGAATGGAGAGAGCAAGAGAGAGGGAGGCAGACAGAGAGAGAGAGAGGGGAAAAGTGCAACTAGGAAGAGGAGGAGGAACGTCTGAATCCGCCGAGACCATTTGAAATGAAAAGGGTTATTTGTTGGCTTTGTGAATGTCATTTTGCTTTTATTCCCCGAGTCTGTTTTCAGCTCGCTGCTTGCACATTTTCAATGATCCAGAGGTTAGAGTAGAGCGTCGGAGGCATCCTGAAGACTCCCGCTTCCCCCTCCCCCTTAGTCCCCC